CTAAGGCTAGGGTTTTCTCTGAACGGTGCGATCCATCTCCTTCTCCTCAGAATGTCACCATAAGTTCCCTTTTCTTGTTTCTTTTTTTTTTCAAACAGTTTACTTTTCATTTTCTGAAATCTTCACAGTTCAATATATTTATTGATTATTATTAAAAAATCGAGACACACTCATAGATATGTATTCGTAGTTAGAGCAACAAGTCCAAGCATGGAAATGAAACCTCTGTTGACACGGGAAATAGTGGTAGCACTGGGGGTATGTCCACAGAAAGCACAGCTGATACTCATCAAGCTGTTAATCTCTCCACGGTTGATTTCAATGGAGTTTGGTGAACCTATTCCTCTATTATTATTTCGGATGTATCTTACATTGTTGCTTGACTGTTGCATGTGCTTGTGTTTCATGTAGGTTTTTGAGCTGACCTCAACACAAGGACCGGAGGTGGGTCTTTATTTATTCAGAAAGATGCCGCACCAAAGAAAAGCAAAACTTTGTGTCTCCTTCTCCAGTTGCTATTCTACCTGCCGGAATAGGGAAGATCTTGCTAGAGTTTTCTACTAATCTTCTGCTTGATGATGTCTGGTTTGTAGATAATGCTGTAAATTGAGAGAGGCAAGTGCATAGGGTTGCAAGACTAAGAAAGAAACTGTGTTTGTATAGTGCAGCGGCCAACGGCTTTATTTTTAAGCCATCAATATAGTTCTTAAGTCTCTTGAAGAATCGTTCAACTTTGTAAATTTCCAAGCTCCCTACCAAAGCATCACATCTTTCTCAGTGTATTAAAAACACTTCCAATCACAGTTTTTACTGTCCTGGCGGAAGTGGCCCTAATAGACATTTCTAATAATGAAAACAAAGGCATCTGTAGAAGATTTGCTTGACGAGCAAAACAAAAGTGATGTAAGGAAAGGACAATAACTCATTATGTGAGACACCTGGCCAGGCTTGAGGCATGCATGGTTCTCCCAATACGATTGGCCTTTTTATTTTCTGCCTGCAATGTAGGCGAAATCATATAGATCTCTAGATAATGATCCACTGTCAATCACTCTTGGTCTTCACCTCTTAAGTTCCCAGATTTTCTTCTCACTTGGTAGTTGGAATTTAGATCGCTATTTTCTGTTCACAAATACTATGACTGTCCCCCACAGTGCATTTCTATTATCTGTGCTATGTCCACAAACTCAAGAGCACATTTTCTACTGATTTTATGTAGTACAAGCTGACTGGTTTTACGGGAAAATTTTCTATTCATAGAGTATAGCCGCGTGGCGATACTTTTAAAATTTCCAGCGGAAGCAAATTGAAACACCAGCACTTTCGTGGGAACATCACTTCAGGATTGCCTGTGAAGTTGCCGGAGCAGTATCATATATGCACTCTGCAGCTTCAATCCCCCATCTTCAAGTCTTCTAACATTCTTCTAGACCATAACTTCAGTGGAAAAATAGGGAAGGATGGATTATTAAATTATCTACATAAAGATGATTGACATACAACATATATCCCTATGAAACAAACTAAAAAAAGTGAACAGGACGTTCCAACTTTCTAAAATCTCACCGCTCTGATGAATGCTTATCAATCAAATGAACTTGCAAGTCTGGTGGTTTGCTTAAAGAAGTATCATTGGGAGCAACAAAAAGTGAATTACGGCACTCATGTCCCTGTACAGGATCTGTTCTTGATTGCCGCTTTCACTTATACGTTAGCAACACTTTGCATCCCGACATTTAACCTTTCAAAAAGAAATCTTGCTGCAATTCCAAACAATTGGACAGCATTTTTCACACGAAATTTGTTTTTGTTCCACTATGTTCAGTCTCAATTCAACACAGAAAAACCTGCATATGTTAAGGAAGAATATCCAATTAACTAAACAGCAAGTCATGACTCATATAGTTAATATAGTTACGAGTAGCAACACTGTGAAATAGTGACTGAAAAGTACTTGTGTCAAAGTGCACTGAACATGTGTCAAAGTGTTAAAAATCCCTTGCTCGAGTATCAAGCTAAAATAATTTTCATAGATATGATTTGTCTGATGGTCTGATCTTATCCCTTCTGAGGTTGTAGGAATTTTTCATAGGAAGAACCTACAAACCGCATCAGGGGATTCTCAAAAAAACTTTAAATTTATTTCATTATTAACTTAACCACCATAAATGTCATTTACACTTAAAAACCCCACCTAAACTTCCCCTTAAATCAAAATTCAGCTTCTCTTGAAATACAGGAACTCCATAAAACCGTCAAGTTAAATGATGGGCAAAAGATTAATCCATGTGCGGTAAAATCTTGGATATCCAAGAGGATCAAATCTATCAAAAGCTTCCTGTCATCAACTCTTACAGCAAAGGATTTCTACACAGATTCTGTGATTGTTATTATAGATCATCTTGCAAGTATAGCAAGAGAAAATCAATAGCCCAAGTTTCAGTTGTCCTATCGGAGTGGCTATTAATGTCATCTATGAGAACTCATGCAGTTTTAGAGCTGGTAAGGAGGGCATCTGTTAAAACTGACTTGGAGACTCTATAATCTTTCTGACTGATATCATAAATTCTCAATTCTTTTAGTAGCTAGTTTTATGGGGCAAAGTGTTAGACACACATAAGAGCAACACAACCATGTAGCGGGAATGAAAATATTAATATGGATGGTAGGAGTGACTTCAAAAGGACAATTAAAAATCAATACAATGGAAAAACACTGGGAGTGAACCCTGTTAGTGATAAGTTAACAGAAGTTAATGCGATAGGAACATGTACAACATAGACCACCAAATGTACCTATAACCGAAGGAAGACTAGTTAAGATAAATAAGGGCATGTACGATGATGAGGCTTAGCTATCAACATCCCTGAGGAAAGGACAATCACTCATTATGTGAGACACCTGGCCAGGCTTGAGGCATGCATGGTTCTCCCAATACGATTGGCCTTTTTATTTTCTGCCTGCAATGTAGGCGAAATCATATAGATCTCTAGATAATGATCCACTGTCAATCACTCTTGGTTTTCACCTCTTAAGTTCCCAGATTTTCTTCTCACTTGGTAGTTGGAATTTAGATCGCTATTTTCTGCTCACAAATATTATGACTGTCCCCCATAGTGCATTTCTATTATCTGTGCTATGTCCACAAACTCAAAACAAGAAGTCAACTTCAGAGTTGAGACTTTTATAATGATGCTTCAAGAACTTCAGGTGTTGTGCCACGACACGAAAACCTAAAGTCATTATGCTACTTCCCTTCCCTACATGAAAAATCACGTAATGCTCTCCTAAACTGCAATCTCAACATCCAACATTAGGCTCTCAATATAATCTAAACAAAATTCAAGAGCACATTTTCTACTGATTTACGACAATTGACAGGTGCCCTCATACAACAATTGTCAAGAGCTTGTTTAAACAAATTAAAACCCCTACATTATCTAGCGTTTCAATGAAAATTCAAAATTGAAAAATTGAAAAAGCTATGAACTATTGAATGCTAAAATTTACAATGAATGAACAGAGGCAACAGACCTTGACGACAAGGGGAGAGAGAGAACGCGTTTGGATGCTGGAGAGCGAGAACTGAAAAGTCGGCCTAGGCGGTGGCTAGGCGGTGGCTAGGCGGGCGCTAGGCGGCTAGGCGGCTAGGCGGTGGCTAAGCGGCTAGGCGGTGGCTAGGCGGGATCCTAGGCGGGTTGGGTCTTTTTTCGGTGCCGAACCCGGAGGACGAAGCAGTGACTGGGAAAGAGAGTTCCGTCATCTGCGAGTGCAAGCTTCGTGTTCGTACGAATATATTTAGAGAGTATAGCCGGTCGGCTTTACGTTTTTAAAATATTCGAATGTAGTTTGAAAGTATAGCCGTGCGGCATCATTTTGGCTTTGTCCAGGGCACGTGCAGCATCTGCTCTATGAGAGCTCTTTGCTTTAAACTCAAGGAAGGATGCAAAATGCAGAAAGGACGCTCTGATACCACTTGACGCAGTTCAAGTATGAACTCGCAGAGCTTGTTACTATTTTTTTCCTTGTGGATTTCCTTACTTGTCTTGCACTTTAAAGTATGCTGATAATATCGTTGGCTAAAAATGTATGTGAATAATTTCACAATCTACTGTCTACTAGATCCCTCCACTAGTTTATGAATCTTCGAGGTAATTTATTTCATTAAAAAGTAAACTAAAGTCATAATTTCATTTAATATGGAGAAAGAGTACCAGAAGATGCCTTATGCCATTACTCAGACTATTTTTTTTTAATTTCTTGCTGAAGATATGATAGAGATTCATGGTCATTTCAGAATCCTCATGGTGGCTTTGGATTATTAAGCATATCTTATTACATGGGCTTCTTCTTGTTATAGCAATAATATGCTGATAATATTGCAGAAGCCTAAGGAATATGATTTGATGTGGTAGAAATAGACCAGCTTGACCAAATGAGAATACAGTATGCTGATTATTTGCTGATATGCTCTACGTTTTACTTGTTTGGCAGATTGGGGACCGAAGGTTGATGTTGTTGTTTTTTGTTCACTTGCGGAGTGGCTTGAAGCTGGTGAACAGCCTGTCTATATTGGATTTGATAGCCTTGTGAGTTTGTTGCAGCTTTCTCTATTCATGTTTAATATTCTTTTCCCAGTTCTATTCATGAGAATACAGAATGCTAATTGTGGGAGCAAATATTTTCGTCTCCAATCACAGCGCGCCACGTGGAAAAGAAGATTATCTCTTAAATTAATTAATATGATATTATCTTTATTTAATAAGATAATATCATTAATTCAGATATTATCCTAATAAAGAGAAGATAATATCATTAATTCATATATTATCTTCATAAAAAGAGATAATATCATTTAATTCAGATATTATCTTCATAAAAAGAGATAATATCATTAAATCAAATATTATCTAAGTCTAACTTGATCCCTACGAATTTGGGTAGAGTATAAACTCGGCATATTCTCTACGAAACCCTAGCCCCGAGGCTCCTATAAATAGATGACTTCGTTCATCATTCAAGGTACATCTAAACCTAATCCTAAACCCGAGAAAAATACCCGAAGCTCTCTCTCTCTGTCCATTATCTATATTTTCTCCCCACGGCTCCGGCGACCACACACGGCTCCGGCCGCCCGGTTCACACCATACATTCAACTCCGTACCATTTGCTTAGCTATTATTTTCCTACAAACACTATAACTAACTTAGGCATCGGAGGGCTTTTGGCCAACACCCCCGGGTGTGGTCTATTTACTCTAGTCTTTTTCAAAGGAAACGAGAAAGAGAGAGAAGGAAGATCGAAGGTTGAAGGATCTAGAAGCGAATATTCTCCCGTGAGATTATTTGCACAAACATTTGGTGCTTTCATTGATAGCACGAGTTATACTCAACGCATGCTCAAGGAATCCGTTCGTCCTATTTTCCAATCCACCGAAGCCTTCCAAACAACCATGGTTGGAAGCAAGCGCACGAGGAGCAAAACCGCCACAATGGCTCAATCCGTGACTGCCCAAAGATACTCCTCCCACGATCCCGCGATCAACATGGCGGCTCCACCTCCTCTCGCCGCCATGAACCCGCAGCAAACCCTGCACCACAGCAGCCACCCCGTGCGACTGGAACCACCGCACCAGCCTCTGCCGTCGTCGTACCATCTCAAGGTCCTGTGGCCGGATCTAGCCACCTTCATAGCACCGCCACCGAGCATGGTGGAACCTCCCATCAAGATGGACTCACTACCACCGCCGACTTTGGCCCAATCTTGGAGCAACTTCAAGCATTCCCTCCATTGCCTCCACGCTCGACGCAAGCTCCCATGTACACATCTAATGAAACCCTAGCCCGTGTGCAATTGGGTTCCACACATTTCTCTCATCCCGATCCACGAAGTCAAGTAGACCCTAATCTGAGAGTTGACCAGCTAACTCAGAGAATGGACGACCGAAACAATTTGATGAGGCAGCTCCTCAACCAAATAAACTTGGCTCAAAACCATGGCCTTGGACAATAGGGCGAAGAGAGAAGGATGGACAAGCACGCCGATAGGCAGTTCAATGGGAACCAAGCAGGTCAAGCAGGAGTAAGCAGACAAGGAGATGGACAACAACGGGATCAGCTTGCCGACATGTCATAAGCATCTGCAAGCGACAGTCAAAGCAGACGAAGTCTCCCATCCATATCGAACTTAAGGACAAACGTGCGCGATAGGTTGGGCCCACAACTTGCCATCCACGCTCGCCTAGGGCCGCAGAGAAATATTCACGAAAGGCTAGGCCCCCAGGGCGGTCAACCTGGTAACCCGCACAATGAGGACCGTGAAGAAAGGCACTCCACTGACCGCTCTCGAAGAACCAATTCTCATCGCCAAGTTACAGAAAATCCCTCGCAAGCACAGTCCACCAACATGCCGCCTAGGCAGCGCAGCCAAGAAGGTCGACCCTTGCAAACCAACAAGGAAGTTAATCAGCTTCACCCAAATCGTAAAGGCCATCAACATGACCGACCAGCCATGTGTGCGGAAGACGTTGAGAAGCTTGTGAATAACCGACTTTGAAACTTAAAGATTGGCGAAAATTTCGAGACTACATCAAGAGGTTCAAAGCGGAGAGGGCAAACATTGTAGGATGTGATGACCAAATTGCGTCATCCGCCTTCAAGAGGGGTTGCCAACTGAATGTGAGCTAACCATCTCTCCTTGCCAAACACTGGTAGAAGTCTTCGCTATAGCAGAGCGTTACACACTATAGGACGACAACCGGATCGCCACGAAGAAGGCTGATCAAGTAGCTGAGCAGGCAAGCCAAGAGAACGGCAAGCGCAGATCACAGCCTCAAGAAGGTGTTCCAGCAACGGAGAGCTACACCAAGTTCACTATCTCGATACACCAGATCCTGGCCCAAGTAAATGACATGCCTTGGTTGAAGAAACCATCGCCTTTAAAGGGAAACCCAACCAAGAAGGATACTAGTAGATACTGCACATTCCATGAAGGGCACGGTCATTACACAAACGACTGCTTCGCCTGGAAAAGGCACCTCGAAGTTCTAGTCAGAGACGGCCATTGCACGAAATTCATCGCAAGGAGGGCTATCCAGCAAATCAAAGATTATGACGCAGCTAACGATGAACCTCCATGAAAATAGTCATATGGATCAACACGATCCTAGCTGACTCCAAGAGCCCGGACTGACCACCAGGGGGCAGAAGAGAAAGATCAAGCAGGCGACTTCCGTCTCCCAAGCCGTCACTAGCTACCAAGTTATGGAAGACAAACCTTTCATCATCTTTCAATGGAAGGAAGTTCTAAGACAATAGAATACCCATCACCTCAAGGGGTACTATCCATGAAGCTCCTCACCTATCAGCTCGGCTCTAAGCAGGTGGCCAAGCCTTCCTCACCTCCATTGAAGACAAGTTACTTTTGATGTTACTCATGCACTTATCTTTTTTGTTCAATAAAGCAATGTAGTCACACAAACATCAATACAAGTTCAAACTTTTCTTTCCAATGGAGTGTTCACAAAAGCAATCGACACGTCTCCGGACGTAGGCCAAACGGGCCACTCTCATTGACACGTCTCCGGACGTAGGCCAAAAAGGTCATGCACATTGACACATCTCCGGACGTAGGCCAAACGGGCCACTCTCATCGACATGTCTTCGGACATATGCGAATTGATGTCGGCCTTCCTTTTTTATGGGGGTCCAGCAGAACACTCCTCATGCCCAGCCGGCAGGTCAACAGAGTCTAGACCATTCTACTTTCATCTCGCAACATCCTGGGCAAAGGGTAGACCACCAACTTCTTCCGGATACTCGCTCAGCAGCAACCAGCGGCCACTGCCGCTTCAATCGATCTTCGACCGCCAGTCACGACGTCAACCAGCCTGGTCCCACCCAGCTGGTCCTCACCTCAAAAAAGAGAAGATGAAGAAAAATATACGTGCTCGACTTACCTTTTCTTCCCCAAACAGTACAAATTCTCCAAAATCTTTCTCAAGCTAGAAAGTAGAGAAGTTAAGTTTGCGATGTAAGAAAGAGTGAAGAGAAGCCTTGTATTTGTACAAGTTGGACAACTCGAGTCAAGGAGGAATCGCAAGCTCATTCCTACTAGGAATCCAACTCCAACAACAGTCAGAAGTTTACACCAATTGGGATAAAGTCCAGACATAGTTGGAGAGCCCAAAAAAAAATAATTTCATCTCCTACATGCCACACAAGCACCATGCAGAAGCTAGGGGGCATTTGTGGGAGCAAATATTTTCGTCTCCAATCACAGTGCGCCTTGTGGAAAAGAAGATTATCTCTTAAATTAATTAATTGAACCAGTTTATTTGGCCAATTAATTAATTGGGATAAATATCTTAATTAATATGATATTATCTTTATTTAATAAGATAATATCATTAATTCAGATATTATCCTAATAAAGAGAAGATAATATCATTAATTCACATATTATCTTCATAAAAGAGATAATATCATTTAATTCAGATATTATCTTCATGAAAAAAGATAATATCATTAAATCAGATATTATCTAAGTCTGACTTGATCCCTACGAATTTGGGTAGAGAATATACTAAGCATATTCTCTACGAAACCCTAGCCCCGAGGCTCCTATGAATAGATGACTTCGTTCATCATTCAAGGTACATCTAAACCTACTCCTAAACCCGAGAAAAATACCCGAAGCTCTCTCTCCCTCTCCACTCTCCATATTTTCTCCACACAGCTCCGGCCACCACACACGGCTCCGGCCTCCCGGTTCACACCATACATACAACTCCGTACCCTTTTGCTTAGCTATTGTTTTCCTACAAACACTCGAACTAACTTAGGCATCGGAGGGCCTTTGGCCAACACCCCCCGGGTGTGGTTTATTTACTCTAGTCTTTTTTACAGGAAACGAGGAAGAGAAAAAAGGAAGATCGAAGGTTGAAGGATCTAGAAGCGAATATTCTCCTGCGAGATTATTTGCACAAACACTAAGTATTTGCTGATATGCTCTACGTTTTACTTGTTTTGCAGATTGGGGACTGAAGGTTGATGTTGTTGTTTTTTGTTTTCTTGACCTTGCTTCAAATTATGAACCCCCAGATTCACTTGCGGAGTGGCTTGAAGCTGGTGAACAACCTGTCTGTATCGGATTTGATAGCCTTGTAAGTTTGCATGACTTAAATAAAAATTGGATTTCATTTTTTTTTCCTCTTAAAATTTTTTTATTTATAATAAAAAAATTTGCATTGTTCTAGCATGATATGTTTGAAACCTTCTTTACAGTTGCCATTTGTTTCATATTTTCCCAATTAAGTGTAAATTAGACTTATATAACCATAGAAACTGAGCTTTTGAACCTTGTACTTCAGTTCATGAGTGTTATACACATGAATTTTTTAAATAATTTTTTAACAATAATAATTTTTTTGAAGGCCAAAAAAACCTCTCCCGACAAAATTTCGTTAGCACAGATATATCCTGGCGAATATTCTTCGGATTAGACTTACCCTGACACAATTTCATTTGCGGAGGTAATTTCGTGAGGGGGAATTTCTCTTTTTAATTACTTACGTTTTAATTATTGTTTACTTAGTGAAGAGGTAGTATTTAATACTAATTATTCACTAGAGAAATAATAGTTAGAACATCTATATCTATATATATAAAGCAAAAGGCAGAGAATGGTGAAACATTCAAAATACCAGAAAATGTCATTGGTTAATTCAAACATTAAGAATTGAAATTATTAATTAAATGAGGATAATATGGTAAATTCACATTTTTTCATATTAAAAAAAATTAAAATTAAAAACAAATCAGATAATAGGTCATACTTTTATGGAACATAACTACCCATGTTATCTTTTCTTAATTCTAAAAATAAAATAAAAAAGAAAAAAGAAAACCAATTGGCACATGCGTGAGCATGTGCCAAGGGGCTTGTAATTACTAATGAAAGTAATTAAATCAACATAAGATATTATTCAATTACTGAAAAGATTTTTTTTAAAAAAAAAATTATTGACCTAAAGATACTAAGTTTGTATTTATTTTTTTTAAGAAAACCTATCCCGATGAAATTTCGTCGGCAGAGGTCTGCGCACCTGTGCCGACAAAGTTCGTGAAATTTCGTCGGGAGAGGATGTTTTGCTTTTTATTTTTAAAATTTTAAAATGAAATTAGTTTCTTTACTCTCTTTTTTGGCCAACTTCTTTAATTTAATACATGTAATTAGGTAATACCTTAGCCTTTTTTTTAATTACTTTAATTAGCAATTATGTTTTAATTATTATTTATTTAGTGAATATTTAAATATTTTACTGATTTCGTAAATTACTTGGTAAATAGTAATTAATTGTTTTGAATTATTTTGTGGACTTTGTTTTTCTTAAAATACATGCGTACTTGTACAATACGTGTATTACTTTCATTAAAACGAGTCTTTTAAAACGTATACGGAAAACATAAGTATTATTGAAAAATATGTACGTACGTTTATAATACGAGTATTAAATAGGGAAATTCTAAATTCTTTATACATGTAATAACTCTGGGAAAGTAAAACAAACAAAAGAGGACAATAGCTATACCTTGGTAATGGCCTAAACGCAATGGATGCTGCTCCAGACTAGTCTTATCGACAAAGGAAAATCAGGGAGAAAAAATTTTAAAAACAAAAAGGCGCCCTGTAAATATTTAAAGGGTATAGCCGTGCGGCTATACTCCACAAATAGAATATTTTAAACGTACAGCCGCCCGGCTATACTCTATAACTAACATAATCTGAATTTCTCTTTTTTAATTACTTATGTTTTAATTATTGTTTACTTAGTGAATAATTAGTATTTAATACTAATTATTCACTAGAGAAATAATAGTTAGAACATAATTACTTATGAAAGTAATTAAATCAGCCTAAGATATTATTCAATTACTGAAAAGAATTTTTTTTAAAAAAAAATTATTGACCTAAAGATACTAAGTTTATATTTATTTTTTTAAGAAAACCTCTCCCGACGAAATTTCGTCGGCAGAGGTATTTTCGTCGGGAGAGGTCTGCGCACCTGTGCCGACGAAATTTCGTGAAATTTTGTCGGGAGAGGTTGTTTTGCTTTTTATTTTTAAAATTTTAAAATCTTAAAATATGAAATTAGTATCTTTACTTTTGTTTTTTGGCCAACTTCTTTAATTTAATACATGTAATTAGGTAATACCTTAGCCTTTAAAAAAAATTATTTTAATTAGTAATTATATTTTAATTATTATTTATTTAGTGAATATTTAAATATTTTACTGATTTCGTAAATTACTTGGTAAATAGTAATTAATTGTTTTGAATTATTTTGTGGACTTTGTTTTTTGTTCTTTGATATTGAATAATCATTCAAATACATGCGTACTTGTACAATACGTGTACTATACCTTTGCTTTCATTATGACGAGTCTTTTAAGACGTATATGGAAAATGGAAATATTATTAAAAAATATGTACGTACGTGTATAATAAGAGTATTAAATGGGGAAATGCTAAATTCTTTATACGGGTAATAACTCTGGGAAAGTAAAAAAAACAAAATGGGACAATAGCTATACCTTGGCAATAGCCTAAACATAATGGATACTGCTCCAGACTAGTTTTATCGACAAAAGAAAATCAGGGAGAAAAAATTTAAAAAACAAAAAGCAAAATTTTTTATTAGAAATAAATTTTTTTTAGAGAAAAAAAAAATGAAATCCAATTTTTGTTTAAGTCACGACGGCAGAGGCCGGTGCGGTGGTTCCAGTCACACGGGGTGGCTGCTGTGGTGCAGCAGCTAGGGTTTGTTGCGAGTTCACGGCGGCGAGAGGAGGTGGAGCCGCCATGTTGATCGCAGGATCGTGGGAGGAGTATCTTTGGGCAGTCACAGATTGAGCCATTGTGGCGGTTTTGCTCCTCGTGCACTTGCTTCCAACCATGGTTGTTTGGAAGGCTTCGGTGGATTGGAAAATAGGACGAATGGATTCCTTGAGCACGCGTTAAGTATAACTCGTGCTATCAATGAAAGCACCAAATGTTTGTGCAAATAATCTCGCAGGAGAATATTCGCTTCTAGATCCTTCAACCTTCGATCTTCCTTCTCTCTCTTTCTCGTTTCCTTTGAAAAAGACTAGATTAAATAGACCATACCCGGGGGTGTTGGCCAAAGGCCCTCCGATGCCTAAGTTAGTTATAGTGTTTGTAGGAAAATAATAGCTAAGCAAATGGTACGGAGTTGAATGTATGGTGTGAACCGGGCGGCCGAAGCCGTGTGTGGTCGCCGGAGCCGTGTGGAGAAAATATAGATAATGGAGAGAGAGAGAGAGAGAGAGAGCTTCGGGTATTTTTCTCAGGTTTAGGATTAGGTTTAGATGTACCTTGAATGATGAACGAAGTCATCTATTTATAGGAGCCTCGGGGCTAGGGTTTCGTAGAGAATATGCCGAGTTTATACTCTACCCAAATTCGTAGGGATCAAGTTAGACTTAGATAATATTTGATTTAATGATATTATCTCTTTTTATGAAGATAATATCTGAATTAAATGATATTATCTCTTTTTATGAAGATAATATATGAATTAATGATATTATCTTCTCTTTATTAGGATAATATCTGAATTAATGATATTATCTTATTAAATAAAGATAATATCATATTAATTAATTTAAGAGATAATCTTCTTTTCCACGTGGCGCGCTGTGATTGGAGACGAAAATATTTGCTCCCACAATTAGCATTTTGTATTCTCATGAATAGAACTGGGAAAAGAATATTAAACATGAATAGAGAAAGCTGCAACAAACTCACAAGGCTATCAAATCCAATATAGACAGGCTGTTCACCAGCTTCAAGCCACTCCGCAAGTGAACAAAAAACAACAACATCAACCTTCGGTCCCCAATCTGCCAAACAAGTAAAACGTAGAGCATATCAGCAAATAATCAGCATACTGTATTCTCATTTGGTCAAGCTGGTCTATTTCTACCACATCAAATCATATTCCTTAGGCTTCTGCAATATTATCAGCATATTATTGCTATAACAAGAAGAAGCCCATGTAATAAGATATGCTTAATAATCCAAAGCCACCATGAGGATTCTGAAATGACCATGAATCTCTATCATATCTTCAGCAAGAAATTAAAAAAAAATAGTCTGAGTAATGGCATAAGGCATCTTCTGGTACTCTTTCTCCATATTAAATGAAATTATGACTTTAGTTTACTTTTTAATGAAATAAATTACCTCGAAGATTCATAAACTAGTGGAGGGATCTAGTAGACAGTAGATTGTGAAATTATTCACATACATTTTTAGCCAACGATATTATCAGCATACTTTAAAGTGCAAGACAAGTAAGGAAATCCACAAGGAAAAAAATAGTAACAAGCTCTGCGAGTTCATACTTGAACTGCGTCAAGTGGTATCAGAGCGTCCTTTCTGCATTTTGCATCCTTCCTTGAGTTTAAAGCAAAGAGCTCTCATAGAGCAGATGCTGCACGTGCCCTGGACAAAGCCAAAATGATGCCGCACGGCTATACTTTCTAACTACATCCGAATATTTTAAAAAAGTAAAGCCGACCGGCTATACTCTCTAAATATATTCGTACGAACACGAAGCTTGCACTCGCAGATGACGGAACTCTCTTTCCCAGTCACTGCTTCGTCCTCCGGGTTCGGCACCGAAAAAAGACCCAACCCGCCTAGGATCCCGCCTAGCCACCGCCTAGCCGCTTAGCCACCGCCTAGCCGCCTAGCCGCCTAGCGCCCGCCTAGCCACCGCCTAGCCACCGCCTTTCAGTTCTCGCTCTCCAGCATCCAAACGCGTTCTCTCTCTCCCCTTGTCGTCAAGGTCTGTTGCCTCTGTTCATTCATTGTAAATTTTAGCATTCAATAGTTCATAGCTTTTTCAATTTTTCAATTTTGAATTTTCATTGAAACGCTAGATAATGTAGGGGTTTTAATTTGTTTAAACAAGCTCTTGACAATTGTTGTATGAGGGCACCTGTCAATTGTCGTAAATCAGTAGAAAATGTGCTCTTGAATTTTGTTTAGATTATATTGAGAGCCTAATGTTGGATGTTGAGATTGCAGTTTAGGAGAGCATTACGTGATTTTTCATGTAGGGAAGGGAAGTAGCATAATGACTTTAGGTTTTCGTGTCGTGGCACAACACCTGAAGTTCTTGAAGCATCATTATAAAAGTCTCAACTCTGAAGTTGACTTCTTGTTTTGAGTTTGTGGACATAGCACAGATAATAGAAATGCACTATGGGGGACAGTCATAATATTTGTGAGCAGAAAATAGCGATCTAAATTCCAACTACCAAGTGAGAAGAAAATCTGGGAACTTAAGAGGTGAAGACCAAGAGTGATTGACAGTGGATCATTATCTAGAGATCTATATGATTTCGCCTACATTGCAGGCAGAAAATAAAAAGGCCAATCGTATTGGGAGAACCATGCATGCCTCAAGCCTGGCCAGGTGTCTCACATAATGAGTGATTGTCCTTTCCTCAGGGATGTTGATAGCTAAGCCTCATCATCGTACATGCCTTTATTTATCTTAACTAGTCTTCCTTCGGTTATAGGTACATTTGGTGGTCTATGTTGTACATGTTCCTATCGCATTAACTTTCTGTTAACTTATCACTAACAGGGTTCACTCCCAGTGTTTTTCCATTGTATTGATTTTTAATTGTCCTTTTGAAGTCACTCCTACCATCCATATTAATATCAGTCAGAATTGAGAATTTATGATATCAGTCGGAAAGATTATATAGTCTCCAAATCAGTTTTAACAGATGCCCTCCTTACCAGCTCTAAAACTGCATGAGTTCTCGTAGATGACATTAATAGCCACTCCGATAGGACAACTGAAACTTGGGCTATTGATTTTCTCTTGCTATACTTGCAAGATGATCTATAATAACAATCACAGAATCTATGTAGAAATCCTTTGCTGTAAGAGTTGATGACAGGAAGCTTTTGATAGATTTGATCCTCTTGGATATCCAAGATTTTACCGCACATGGATTAATCTTTTGCCCATCATGTAACTTGACTGTTTTATGGAGTTCCTGTATTTCAAGAGAAGCTGAATTTTGATTTAAGGGGAAGTTTAGGTGGGGTTTTTAAGGGTAAATGACATTTCTGGTGGTTAAGTTAATAATGAGATAAATGTTAACAAAAATTTGAGAATCCCCTGATGCGGTTTGTAGGTTCTTCCTATCAAAAATTCCTATAACCTTAGAAGGGATAAGATCAAACCATCAGACAAATCATATCTATCAAAATTATTTTAGCTTGACACTCTAGCAAAGGCTTTTTAACACTTTGACACATGTTCAGTGCACTTTCACACAAGTACTTTTCAGTCACTATTTCAGAGTGTTGCTACTCGTAACTGTATTAACTATATGAGTCATGACTTGCTGTTTAGTAATTGGATATTCTTCCTTAAAATATGCAGGTTTTTCTGTGTTGAAATGAGACTGAACATAGTGGAACAAAAACAAATTTCATGTGAATAATGCGGTCCAAGTGTTCGGAATTGCAGCAAGATTTCTTTTTGAAAGCTTAAATGTCGGGAAGCAAAGTGTTGCTAACGTATAAGCGAAAGCGGCAATCAGAATAAATCCTGTACAGGGACATGAGTGCCGTAATTCACTTTTTGTTGCTCCCGATGATACTTCTTTAAGCAAACCACCAGACTTGCAAGTTCATTTGATTGATAAGCATTCATCAGAGCGGTGAGATTTTAGAAAGTTGGAACCTCCTGTTCACTTTTTTTAGTTTGTTTCATAGGGATATATGTTGTATGTCAATCATCTTTATGTAGATAATTTAATAATCCATCCTTCCTTATTTTTCCACTGAAGTTATGGGGGATTGAAGCTGCAGAGTGCATATATGATACTGCTCTGGCAACTTCACCGGCAATCCTGAAGCGATGTTCCCACGAAAGTGCTGGTGTTTCAGTGTGCTTATGCTGGATTCAGTATCGCCGTGCCGCTATTATGTAAAAATAGAAATTTTAAAAGTATAGCCGGGCGGCTATATACTATATAAATAGAAATTTTACGAGTTTAGCTGCCTTGCTATACGCCATAAATAGAAATTATAACGATATAGCCGCCCGACTATACCTGTTAAATACAATATTTTACTAGTGTAGTCGCACGGCTATACTCGTGAAAAGTATAAAATTAGTTTCTCTACTCTTTTTTTTGCCCAGCTTCTGTTATTTAATATATGGAATTAAGTAATATCTTAGTCTTTTTTAATTACTTTAATTATTGTTTCTTTGGTGAAAACATAGAATATTTTAAAGGATAGCCACATGGCTAGAACCCATAAATAGAAATTATAAAAGTATAGCCGCGCGGCTATACGGTTTTAATATATTCCAACAAACACGACGCTTGTACTCGCAGAGGACGGAACTTTCTCTCGCAGTCATTGCTTCGTCCTCTTGAGTTCGGCACCGAAATTTCGGTATGTTCCTTTATACTTTATGTTATCATTGACTCCATAATGTATATCAGAAAGTCCAAGTGGAGATTCAAGAAAGGGAAATGTCACTGGAAACGTTTCAAGTCAGAATTGGTGAAGCTGAAGCAAAGACCAATGATCTTAAAGCATCATTTGAGAATCTGTGGGGTATGGTAACACTGTTCACCTTTCATATTAATTAGGTTCCACAGCACATTCTTCCCATCTTACTTGATTTTTTTTGTGATACTCATTTTATTCTTCCTTCAGTAGTTTAGAATGTAGATGAGCTATGTATATCTTGCTTGTGGATAGCTGGACAGCTTTTTTTTTTTGGTCTGGGATAGCTGGACAGCTTAGTGTTTCTTTTGTTAGTCCCCTTTTCTCTTTCCAAGACTTGATGCTTTGTGCTCCTTTTTTAGGTAAAGATGCCCCAGGATGCATCAAGCAGCACTGTTCGTGACACTAGAGGGCTTTCCGGTTTGATAGCGGTGTGCCTATCGGGCACATAATCAAACCCTTTTAAGCAGACTTGTGACCCTTCTTTGATTCAGTTGTGAAGAATGTTTGTTTTTCAGTCAATAGCTCATACAATATTATTTGATCCATCTATTTGAGGGAAGAAAATGTTTAATGTCCTCTCTCCAGAGAGAAGGCTTCATTCTTCCATCCGTCGTGGGTAACTTTCTCATGATCTTAGGCCTAGGATTTTCTTTTGGAAGCAATGTGAAGTAGGGATGAAATCTATTGACTGCTGTTAAGATATCCCTTTGAAGGTGTCATTATGGACGTTTATACTGAACTAAATCTATCAGTTAATGTTTCATGTAGTTTCAATTAGTATCTTATTTCCCGGCATAAAGAAACTCAATTGCTTATCTTTTCCAGAGATGGGATTAATTTATCTGCTGAAGGAAGCAAAATAGTGGTGGAAGAGATACTGAAGGTACTGAGGGAAGCTGACTGGAAGGCAAGCTTACACTGGAAATCCATGCCATTAGAATTTGCAGAGGATTCACCATATGATCTTGTTGCTGCCGATGGAAAGACAACATTAAATCCCTCCAGCTGGACATTTTATAGGGTGATTCAGTGGGACTAGTTTTGAGATTCAATGTTCCACCTGTGCTTGAATAGAAGATTGAAGTATCTATTGTTGCATGGAATACACTAATGAAAGAGCACAAAAAAAAAAAAAGAAAAAAAAAAAGAAGAGTGGATGTGATGAAGGGTCCATGAATTTTATTTTTTATTTCCTTTTTTGCAATTGTTTTAGTAGCCTCATTGTTAGCTATAATTTAGTAAAAGACTTCGTTTGTAAACTTTGGCCTTTCTCCATCGTTTAACACATTGATAATTGTTTCTAGTAGCCGTGCGGCTATACTCTGTGAATATATTCGATTATTTAAAAAGTATAGCCACCTGACTATACTCTTTAAATATATTCGAATATTTTAATGATACCAGTGCTACTAGAGAATAGTGATTTCCATAATTCTATTTTTTCTATTTTTTTTCTTCCAATTTTTTGCTGGTGAATTCTATTTAATTTTTCGAGTCAAATGTGAAGCAACGACATGACAATCTTCTAACTTACCTAGAATGGATATTATAATGATTCCAATACCTTCTTCTTCTATGTTTACTAATACACACACACACACACACACATATATATATATCCTTTATTATGTATAACCCTCTCAAAATCACATTGATCATTATTTAAGCTGTTTCTTACTTGCTACATTCGTCAATTATTTTTATTCAATAAAATTCGTAATCAAATACCCTTAAAACTAGGAAACCGATCAACTAGGGGAATAGTTAATCCGAGTACGTAAACATGCTAAATCATTGGGAATCACATCGAATGCAAATTGTAGAAAGATTACAATAATGGATAGTTAAAAATTAAAAAATTATAAATAAATAAATAAATAAACCCTTTGGGAGCACATACTATCATTTTTCTATGATTCAAAATGAAACAAATATTGTCTATATTAATATGCAGAATTCAATTCATAAACCAAAATAATAATAAATAAATCAATAAAGAAACCATAAGGTCTTCGTAACTAGATAGATACGTGCTCAGTTAAGCTAATCGGTGTCTGATTCGTAAACTTTTTGCAAATATGGTACACTGCGTTACACACGAATACCCCCTTCTTCTAATATTTTTGAGTTTCCCTCCTTTTCATTTTTGGATCTTCTTCCCTCCGTTTTAGTTAAATCTCTCTCGTCGGCCACAGATTTCACCCCCGAAAAAGAAAAAGGGAAACAAGAACTCAGGTAATTCTGAACTTCGATGTAATTAATTTCAACTCTATATCGTCATTTCAGATTAGATTTTAGAGAATTTTAGTTCCATATTTTGGCTAGCTATGCGATGCTGTAGATTCATGGTCGGCTTGATCTGATTCTTGCTTTTAAACTTAGGATTAGTTGGATATGTATGTTTTACCAATTGAGTATTTGTGGGTTTTATCTCTTTTTCTGAGTTTTTAGTCTTTATCCTATACTCAGCCAGAGAAAGAAAGAAAATAATTATATACGCTTCTTCTATGAAATCAATAAGGTCTGCTTCTTGCCTGCAACTTGTTTGTCAAAATGCTTCATAGAGTCATAACTTGTTGATATCGGTATCCTATCAGTTTGAATTGCATAAACAAGAAATCTTGAATTCGTTGGTTCGATATCTCTGTAGAATCCAATTACACTTCGTAAACCCAAATGCAACTGTGTCACATAAATATGGGAAATCCTAAGCAATTTAGAATGGTTCAAATACCTTTTATTGAACTACAATGTCAAAATTTTAGCCTTATATTCTATATGTCATTTTGGGTTTTGGTGGCTCATGGATCCGTTGCTGCAGGAGTCTGTCCTGGAGAAGGCAGGGAGCATTGTACGGAAAGTGGGATCTTTTCTGAAAATGTCAAGTTACTATGACATTGATGATATTCTTGTGGAGGAACAGGTTAATTCCCGTCTCTTTGTATCCTCGAAATTTAAACTCCATTTGCTTTATTTACTTAGTCATTTTAATTCTGTATTCTAAACATGTTTGCTATTTCCAAGCAGCATGTCCCAGTGTTTCCAAGCAAGCAGTAAATGGGGTTGATATTGATCCTAGTGCTGAAACCCATTGTGTAAGTGACCAGAGTGGATTTGGAGTGAATGGTTTTTGTTCAAGGAGATATTTTCTTATATCTTCTTGGGGCTGTATTTCAGGTTGAACCCGGTTCAAAGGTAGAGCTGCCTTACTGGCTTGCCCATGAGTTACACCTCAGAAAAGTAGCAAAGATGAAGGTTCCTGCATGTTTCAATCAAAGGTAATGATCTGTACAGGTTTATTTAAAAATAATTTATGGCCATTTTTTAGGGCTGAGTTGCAGGGAGATTCATGGTGGCAAGTGGTCATTGATTTTCAGTTATTTCTGTCTTTGAAATCTGATGTTCAGACATTTCTTCTCTGCATTATTTATGTTTTAATTGTCATATCATTGAATTTATTAGTTGGTACTGATCAAGCATAGTTGCTGCCAGCCTCCAGGCATGTATTAGATTTTGGGGAAGGCAGAAAGAGTGGCTTATGTGATTCAAGTTCAAAGTTCAAAGTTCAAAATTAGTGATTGGTATTACATATTTAACTCTTGTAGATTTCTTCTTTTGTCAGAACAAAACTGGAACTTGGGGCTGATGGTGCATCTGTGGATTTAAGATCTCGATGTCTATACTTCTATGAATTTGGATGCAAGATAGCACCGCTGTGAGTCTCTCTCCTACCCATTTCTTGTATACATAACTTGATCGGTGTGTTCTTTTTATGCTTGTCTTTGAGTTATATTCTAATAGGTGGATATTTCATATAAATGAACCCTAGTGTGGTAGAGGGTTGAGAAAATGGTATATGACAAGACTCCCATTCTGGATAAACTTTTTTCACTGTGAATTGTCATGATCTTGTTCTTTGTCAATTTGAAAATGAAAACTATCCCTGAAGTTCTATTGAAAATTCTGGTCAAGGGATATAAAACCCTGAGTTTCTCCTATGAAAGCCAGGTCTATACAATAGATTAATGTGTATACCTGACACACAAAAGTAAATGAGAAAAAAGTCAAAAGCGAAAATAGAAAAAGAAAAACCAACATGTATAACGTTGAGAATTGGACATTTATTGATTGGCTTGGCACTCTTGGTTTAACATTTGGACCTTCACTTTGTAGACTTGGCCTAGTGTGGTTTATGATCTGGTAGGAGGGTATTTAGTGTTGACTGATGCTTCTTGTCTGAATCCAAAGAAATACAACTGGATGATTTGTTATCTGTTCTTGTTTTTGGGTGGTAAATTGGACACTGAACAATCTGCGCTGTTCACATGTACTATTTGTGGCCAGACAAACTGATTCTAACTAGTTTTTTCTTTATTTTTGTTTGAATCATTTGGATGGATAGGGTTGGTGATAGAGACGTGGGATCATTCCTATTATCTGCATTTAGGACCAGGTATCAGAAAATCCTGGCAAAGGCACATAACGCATCATTTACAGCATATTCAAAATTGCTGTCGTACTTAACAAAAGAAGAAACCAATCGTAAGATTTATATCACCCTACATGTTTTATCATATCTTTCATCACTGTCTCTCAAACTTCTTCTATATGAATGTTGACTCAAAATGGTTGCACAATTGTTTCTAGTGTATGAGGCAGCTCAGTCGTCAATGGCGGCCTATAAGAAGTGGCGGATAGGTGGCCCCCGATTTGAGAGAGCTTCTGTACTTGGGAGGAAGAGGAAGGAAGCCAACTGACTAGTTGTATTGTACCCTCTACTCTACCTCTCATCTGATCCATCCTTTCTGAATCATTGTCCCAATTTGTAATTTTTCCTACATTGGAAAAGCTAGTTGGTAATTTTGTTGAAAGTTAATGAGATCATTGTAATTTTAATTAAACATCATTATATAAATATTTGCACTTAGCATTACTAGCACGCACCTATTCATTTATCACTTTATCTTTCAGGCAAACAAAGAGTACGGAATTTATTCTTGATTATAATCAAAGCAAAGGGAAGAGGAGCATACAAGTCAATTTCTAAAGTAAGAAAATAAAAAATAAAGGCATCATAGGAAGTGGCTTGGGACGAAAAGAATCAAGAGACCTCAAGCCATGAACAGTAAGTCCACCAAGAGTCAAGAGACCTCGGTCGGGAATTTATAAATACAACCTCACTGCTCTGCTGGATCTTCTCTGAAGCCAACACATTTGATTATAATCTTATTCCAATTTTCCAGAACAGTTGAATTGAAGGAGGGATGAGCAGCAGTAGCAGCACAACAACAACAGAAGCATGGGTGCTGGACTTGCTGCCTGAGTTCAGATTCCGTCCCCTCTGATGAGAAAATGGTGAACCTTTTGTGGAAGAAGATAAATGGCAAGGACTACCAAGTCATGCCTGAAATCAATTACAAGCCTTGGGATTTACCTGATAATGAATCTATCCCACTTTTTCTGCGCTTCTTGAAGCAGCTGATGCAGGGCAAGGCCTCCATCATTCCTGAAATCGATTTCTACAAGCACGAGCCTTGGGATTTAGCTGGTAATCTGTCTCTCTTTCTCTTCACTTTCCATTTTCTAATTTCCAAGGTATGATGTTTGTTTATGCATAATCTTGATCAGTTGTTCTGTTGAAATATGTTGTTCATTACTTCAAGACTTGTTTTGTGTTGCATTTTGCAGGAGCAGGACTCATGTTCCCAGATTCTCCATATCAAGCTAGGACGTGGTTCTGCTTCAGCAGACCTGATTACAAATACCTCGACAGTCCTCGCCGCAACAGGCTCACAGAGAAGGGCTTCTGGAAAATCACAGGCCAGCCACGAGAAGTGAAGTCTCGACAACTCTCCAAATCGCTCACTTGCAAAAAGAAGACCTTGACCTTCCATTTAGGTCGTCCGAAAAAGTCGAGCAAGACCGACTGGGTCAAGCAGGAGTATTATCTCACTCCAACTGACCCGGGTTCTAACCCCAATCAGATGAGTGGCCTTGTTCTTTACCGGGTCAAGTATAGGTCAGCTGACTATGAGTCTGATAATAACTGTGTGCTTGGAACTGGCAATCTTAATTATGGTGAACCTGGTGGCTTTGTTTCATCTGATTTTGATGATATGATTCAAGAGGTGCGTATGAATGTGCATTTTCAACATTTCTGATGTAAAATTGTAAATGCGGAGCACAAGAAATATGTCAACACTTAACCTTTGCTTGTTTGTGATTCTTAATCTGGCAGCCATGTGATCAGCAAGAACATCTGGATTCACCTTCTCCTCCTCCTGAGCCGCCTCGGCCACACCAGCTACCTCAGTTGGGAAATGTTCATGGTAGTACTGGTGACTACATTGCCTCTAATTCTGATAACCAAGCTGCTGCTATCCATCATATGATTACAGACGAAGAAGAACTTCTGGCCTACAAAGAGCTAGAACGTGTTCTTCTTGGCAGTGGCAATCCTGATGATGGTGAACTTCGTACCTGTGTTTCATCTGATATGCTTAGAGAGGTGAGACTTTTTGAACATTTTCTGATGTGAACTTGTTGATATGTAGTACAGGAAGTATATCAAAACTTAACCCTTGCTTGTTTTGTGATGCTTAATCTGGCAATGGCAGTTATGTGCTCAGCTAGGAGAAGATCTGGATTCACCCTTTCCTCCTCCTGGGCCACCTGAGCTGGGAAATGCTCCTGATGTCTGTACTGATGAATGCAGTAGCTGGCCAACCCCAATTGAGGATAATGATTCTTCTCTTCCAAACAAGAATAATATTCCAACCAATTATTACAGCAAACCAGTTAGCAACACAGCCTCTGACTTCGAGAATCAAGCTAAAGATGAAAGGATTCCTGAGGTGAGAATCAACATGCTCTTTGAAATTTTCATATATATACTTCTTAATATGGAGCACAATAATGACACCCAAACTTAACGCTTGCTTGGAATAATTCTTAATCCAGGTTTATTCTCAATCAGAAGAAAATCTGCAATCATTCTTTCGTTCACTTGAGGAAGAGGATTACACATTGCCTTCCCCAATATTATACGTGGAACAGGGAGATGTTCTGCATGCCAATAACTATATTGGATGCAATGAGTCGCAATATGCGGCTCTTTTCCCACATAGTTCTTGAGTAACAAAAACATCATAAACTCTTTCCAATGACTACAACCTACCAAAATCATTGGGAAGGGTTTATGATGAGGATGGTGGAGTACAACAGTGAGACAAACACTGAAGTACTCCATGTAAAGATTATTTGCATTAGCCACTCCATTATGGTTAATGAACCAGAACATTTTATTTATAGGAGAATATCAAAGGGGACTTATAAACAACAAGAGCCCTTGTAAGAATGTGTCTCAAACTCACATTATTACAGACTGATATTCTCCTACAAATATTTCACAAACGACTTAAGTTACTAGTCTGTCACACACAGCAAGGGTTTTGGGCAATTATGTCCAAAATCTTTGATGTGTGTGTAACCCCAAAAAATACAAAAACAAAACCAAAAAGAAAAGGGAAAAAAGAAAAGAAAAGAAGCAGCTGTGTCCCAGCATCCCCAAGTTTTGGAAACTTCAACCTTAATTGGTAGGTGAACTTGTTGGTACAAAGAAAGACCAGCAAATGCAACTGGTTGAAATGCCATCTGGAACTCTCTACCTTTCTCCGAATGCAACAAGTCCAGATGAAGTGAAGATGTCTTTTCTCAGAAGCAGTCTTTTGGAGATGGCACTTCCTCTATCAACACAAACTACAGATATTCCTCAGATCAGTAGTCTTCTTCAACTAGTATATCTATCCTACAAGTCGAAGAACACACAACCTCCATATCAACCAATATCCATTCACGTCTTCGCTGCACACATGGGAGGTGCTCCTAGAAGAATCCGAGTGCAGAGTAGTATCACAAGACAAGGTGAGAAGGAATCAAGCTGAAAACATGACTTTATCACAGCAGTTAAATGAAATATGTTATAATGAAGCTTTGACATTGAGGAGGCTATTTGCTATTCTCACTCAACTGAATTTGATTTCTGTTTGCAGGTCAGGAAGCTGCAGCTCATTGTGTTGCTGTTCAAACCATTTGAAGCGGGCATGGAATGGGCAGCTGGCACCAAATTGAAGGGTTCCTTTACGTTCCTGGAAGCATCTCCTTCAAGCCGTAAACCAAGTTCCCCCATGGTACTATAATATTTCAATACCAAGTTCTAGTTGTATAGCCTTACAGGCTTGCTTTTGTTCTACAGTCATGATCATTATAGAAGTGGCGCTATACACAGAAGCTTCTGCTACATGGATGCTGGAGTCTCAGGTTACTATATTGGTATAACCAGACACTAGTGTGATGTTCTGGTTACTGATATAGAATCTTTGAACTCCATCCTTACTGGAGTAGTAGTTACTAGTTACAGTCATTTCGAAAATGTACGATTATTTTTGTATTTGGAAGGTCTTAAACCTATCAGTGACTTCCCACCAAAAATTGTATCCTGAATATTGTCCTTGTGAATGTTGTTTATTTCAAACATTACAATGTTGAATGGAATATATTGTGTGTTACTTCCTCTATTTTCGGTCTCATAATGTCTACCTGCCATTGCTCAGTGCAAATTTTGTCCTCTTTTCTGCTAATGTAGAACAAATGAATCAGCATCTTCCTTCCTCGCTCCAAAGGTCTGGATAGTCATCCGTTGGTAAATCTAATTTAGGTTTATTATTCTGAATGAAAATATATATATATTGGGCAGTTACTCCAATTTGATTATTGTAGGACAGTCGCAACAATATACGAAGAAGAAAAAAAAAATTGTTCGAGCTTGTTTGAATTAAGAGAAAACACTTAAACTATAACGCGTATATAATTATTAATTATAACTAAATCATAAACTTAAGGACAATACTTCCCTCCTCACCATATGTGCCCTTTTTTTTTCTCAAAAATATTTTTGTTTCTTCTCTTTTATTATTCATAACTGAATTTGTTTTAAATTGCTTTCATCTATCCCACAAACCACCTCTTTAGTTTTTCATAACTAGGCAAGGAGGCATTATAGATGCATTATAATTTCATATTCTATGGTCTCTACAACTCAAAGTTTGCTTGATTCAAAAATGTCTATATCCTTTTTTTAAAAAACCCCTCTACGATGAAATTATGCCTACCAACATTGTCAATGGTAATTTTGGATGAAGGTGAATTGTTGGGGTTAGAGTTAGAAAAGTCCACAATAGACATAAAATTTAACTGAGGTATGAAATAAAAAAGGAAATAAATTATGCTAATGAAAGAGAAGGGAAAGCTTTAAAAAAAATGACACATGTCAATTTATGGTCGGGCCACATTACTAGGTGAGAAGGGGTTCCTAAGGCCATCTCCAGTCATAGACATGCAAGGCTATATTTTAGGGTTCTTCACATTTTATTATTTTGAGAAAAATTATGGTACAACACTCATACATTCCACAGTTATGTATTATTTTATTTAATTAAACTACTATTTAGAGATAATTTTCCTTATATGACATGTATACGTTGATAACATTTAAAAGACGATTAAAAAAAAAAATTTATCCTGACGGCTAGCTGATGTCATTGATGACATCAGCGCACCTTTAATATTGGCTGTTGGATATGCATTTGCGCGAGATGTTTCGTGCTCTTGCCCACACTTGATAATTTCTTTTCTTGAAAAGCATATGCATGGGGCCCAAAAAAAATTTGGTCTGGGCTATAATTGGCTTAGTTGGAGGGCTAAATGGTCAAATGTGACTCTTCAAATTTGGCCAAATTTTTTTTTTGCCCATGGCCAAAGATAGGTTTTACATTATTTTAGGACTATATTTGGTCTATGGCCCAAAACTACATTTGCCCAAAAAAATTTAGTACATGGCCGAAGATAGGTTTTGCATTATTTTATGACTATATTTGGTCTATGGCCCATAACTAGAGATGGCCTAAGGAGGGAAGGATTATCCTAAACTTAAATAGATTTTGAACACCACAGCAAACATGGAACATGCAACGGTGTCACGAACAATAACTTATGAAGAAGGTTTTGACCCACGCATCAAGAGTCTAGAATGTTCTTCTTCCCCCAAAAACAATGATTAACTGAAGAGTAGAAACGTACTAAAGCTGAACTTACAAGAGGGGCAGATGAGATTCCCGCAAAAGAACAAAATATAAAATATAAAAACTAAAAATTAACGCGTGAAAGGGAATGGAACCCTTTTTATGACCCAAGCCATGTCCTTCTTCGGTCAGGTAAACTTGAACTTGTATGAGAAGCTCGGGGACTTGGGATCAATCATCAAACACATTGACGAAAACAAATATATATATAAAAACAAATAGTCAAAAGGACTAGTGCTTTGAGTTAGTGGGACCTGGTTAGTGTTTAGTGTTTATAAATACTTCGCTCTTATTACTGCTTCCCAAAACATTTGAAAATCACAGTGCCAAAGTTCATAACAAGAAGGAGAGATGAGCAGCATCAGCACAATGGAAGAAAGGGATTCATTTCCTGTGGTCCTACCTGGGTTCAGATTCTACCCCACTGAAGAGGTGCTGGTGAGCTACTACTTGAAGAAGAAGATAGAGGGCAAGGACTCTAACTTCAGCCACATCATCCCTGAAATCGATGTCTGCAAGCACGAGCCTTGTGATGTTCCTGGTAACCCATTAATCTTTCTCACTTCTTCTTCACTACCCATTTCCTCATTTCTACTGGTACTATGCTTTTGTTTATATAAATTTATGATCATGATCACTTCTGTTGTCGGATAGTTCAAGACTTGAAGTGGGTTGGTTTCAATATCTTGTTTTGTGTTGCATTTTGCTTTTAATCCTCTTGAAAGATCCAACCCATCTCACATCTCACATTTCTGTTGTTCTGTTTTGAATATGTTGCAACGATATTGAACTTGATCTCGAACTCATAATTCAATCAAAGTACTCACTGAGGCAATTAGATCACTTTCATTTCATGATATTTGAATACATACATTGAGTTTCGGGCTCCTTAACCTTTTTTAGTAATTTTCTTTCAATAATTTATATAATATATGACATTTTATATCTCTCAGAATTTATTCCTATGTATTCTTCAAAAGATTGCTTCTGACGATATGCTTAACTTCATAATCTTTTTAGATCTTTATATAAATGCAAGTCTCCATAAATATGCAATGAACATGCTTCGTAAGAAGAAACATGGATGCATCTACATAATATACTAAGAGAATATCATAAAAGTTCCATGTCTTTACATGGATACATTTTGTCATATCCAATGATTTTATTTCACTGCATCACAAACACCAATTTGTAACCTATACAATTTCATATCTTTTGGTGTTTGAACTGTAGGTCCGTTTCTTCCACGTTATTCAATTTTATTGGACTGCCTCTTCCAGTTTGGCCAATCTTTCTTTACATTGTCAATAACCATAATAAAACGCATATCAATATCATCATAGCCCTTCATAACTTTAGTACGTACTATACATTGATGATCATCAATTTATAAACCCACATTTCTCTTTATGCATGCATAAGATATAAACATTTTCATAGCCACTGGGTACCCATGCCTCTTCAAGGGCTTTCATTGTTTTCTAGTGGACTTATGTCTTCTTATAAGACTATATCTCTTCCGAGATAAAATATATAGGAAATGTGGATATTTCATATAGTATTATATTAATTGGGCTGCATGGACCTTTTAATATAGTCTCAACTTCAACGGAGCCAATTGTGGACTACTTAGGCACACAACTAGATAAATCATTTGCCACCACTTTAGATTGCCTAATTATGACCTCAACATTTTGATGTGATTTGTCACATCAACTGTGTTTTTAAATGCTTCTAGAATTTGACTTGCAATCTTCTAGATTGTGGTTTCTTTTCCACTTTATTTTCACATTATGTTGCACAAAATTTTGATGAAACAATAATGAAATCATTTCATAACAATTTACATCGTTCTTTAGGAACAATGTTTTGATTAGTCTCATCAAAATAATGTTTTGATTAGAGTGGTAAGTATTGTCCTCCACGGACCAAATATAAATAATATAAAGATAATAACGTGAAGCAAAATTTTCATGTTCGCTCAATATATAGTGTACCATAAATACCATGGTTTCCAAAACTTTTTAATCAAAAATAAAATTTTCGCATCATAAATTATTACAGATCAAAGAACTTCTAGTTCTTATCAGAAAATGAGTTTATATGAGGCAAATTATGATTAATATGCTTCTAGTACGAGACCATAAGTATCGGTCATGTTTATTCATAATTTCAACATTAACTCTATTATGTGTATGTATGAATCTATGTAAGTTTCTTCTGGAACTAAGTAATATCAAACATTGTAAGTATATAATTTGACCTATTAATAGCTTTTAGTCATGTTTGCAGAACCTAATAAGATATTTATCAAAATAAATGGTAGTTAAACTCAAAAATAATTTCAACTCAAATAGTTCTGTGTATTGTTTCACTAGCAATAAATATCATAATTCTTGGAGGCTTTGTCATACAAGACCCTCCCTTTATACTATTTAACTTCAAAAATATTTCACTTGCGGGATAATGTGTAAGTGACATTTGTTTCAAGAAATGATATAGAGCTTACATTTGCTTAAGGGAATTATGTAATGCTTATATTTATTTAGAAAATAATAGATCCAATCATATGAAATTCGTGGATGCATAATAAAGACTTTTTATTTACCAAACAATTGAAACACATCATATTTTTCATATTGCTACTACTGGAGCACCTAGAACAGGAAAGGATAAATTTATTCCTTTATGCTCTTCCACATTACAATCCTACTTTGATCTCTATTTTCTTTCTTATTCATATATATATATATATATATATATATAAGAATATCAACTTTTAGGATATCCATGAAAACTAGAACCCAAAAAAAAAAAAATCATTGAACACTTAGTACAATACACATACGTACATATTTTTCATGTTTAATACACGTGTTTTTTAACAAAATTTTCAATAATACATACAAAATTCAAGTATTATACACATAAAATTATATTAAAATATTATATGGTGGCCGAACTTTTTAGATCCAGATTCAAATTTAAAAATAAAAAATAAAAATCTTCCAAATAGGTGCTATTAGGGGGTTCCTATTTTTTATTTAATTTTAAAAAATAAATAAATAGTATAGCAACACGGCTATACCCCTTAATTTCTATTTATGGAGTATAGCCGATCAGCTAGACCTGTAATGTGAGAAACTGTAAAAATATATATAAATATATATATATAATAATTATTCATACTACATATTAATTATTTATTAATATGAATTTTTCTTAGTTAAATATTTTTTGTGAAGGCTTATATATTATTAAATCTTAAGCCTAGTATGAGATTATCCCTTTGGTTGAAAGATGACACCATTCTTGTTTTCCACGTGTAGAGACTTAGAATTGGATTTAATCAAATCATTATTGCCATGCCACCTTGCATGCTAGTAAGAAGTGGTGTTGTGATATCATTGGGCTGACTCACATTATTTACTTATCTTCTATCTTATCACATTATTTCACATTATTTCACACAACATTATTTGGAGTTTTTGTGAAGTATGTATTATTCATGGAACATGAGAACTTCAGTGACGGGATATCCGAAGGATAAATGTACCAAACGGGGACATAGGGCAGTGAGACCGATAGGGGTCACGTATTGAGTACAATTTGTGATGGATAACCAAGATATGAAGTGATGATGTGATATGGTTTGGATTATGTATCTTTTTATTATATTTTTCTGGATAGTATAAAATGACATTGCTTGACTGACATATTACATAATCTACTCAATGAGCGGTGGTTTGCTCATCCCTTACCTATTTTGTTTTTCAGATCAATTAGTGGGCAAGACAAAGCCGAAACCAGAGAAGTTGGATTAGTTTAGAGTGATAAACTTTTATTTATATCTTGTACACTTGTAAGATCATTATAATTTTATTTATAAATATAATGGTATCGTATGTTAACCAAATTTTCAGTTTATTTATTTATTTATTTCGATTCACGCACCTTGATTCAAGAATATTCTTTATTCTCGGATCGGGCCGTGACATGTAAAATTTATATTTATAGCTTATAGCCGTGCGGCTCTATTGTTTAAATTTCAACCATAGCCACGCGGCTATACCGGTAATATATTGTATACACAGAGTACAGCCGAGCGGCTATACTTTTATAATTTCTATTTATGGGTTCTTGCCATGTGGCTATCCTTTAAAATATTCTATGTTTTCACCAAAGGAAACAATAATTAAAGTAATTAAAAAAGACTAAGATATTACTTAATTCCCTATATTAAATAACTGAAACTGGGCAAAAACAAAAGTAAAGAATCTAATTTTATACTTTTAACGAGTATAGCCGTGTGGATATACTTTTAAAATATTTAGAGCGTACGCCAGCGCAACTACACCATTAAAATATTGTATTTAACACGTATAGTCGGGGGGCTAGCTATATCGTTATAATTCTATTTATGGCATATAGCAAGGCGGCTAAACTTGTAAAATTTCTATTTGTAGAGTATATAGCCCCACGGCGATACTGTATCCAGCAGAAGCACATTGAAACACCATCACTTTCGTGGGAACTCGCTTCAGTATCCTATATGCACTCTGCAGCTTCAATCCCCCATCTTCAAGTCTTCTAACATTCTTCTAGACCATAACTTCAGTGGAAAAATAGGGAAGGATGGATTATTAAATTATCTACATAAAGATGATTGACATACAACATATATCCCTATGAAACAAACTATAAAAAGTGAACAGGAGGTTCCAACTTTCTAAAATCTCACCGCTCTGATGAATGCTTATCAATCGAATGAACTTGCAAGTCTGGTGGTTTGGTTAAAGAAGTATCATCGGGAGCAACAAAAAGTGAATTACGGCACTCATGTCCCTGTACAGGATTTGTTTTGATTGCCGCTTTTGCTTATACGTTAGCAACACTTCGCTTCCCGACATTTAAGCTTTCAAAAAGAAATCTTGCTGCAATTCCGAACACTTGGACCGCATTATTCACATGAAATTTGTTTTTGTTCCACTATGTTCAGTCTCATTTCAACACAGAAAAACCTGCATATGTTAAGGAAGAATATCCAATTACTAAACAGCAAGTCATGACTCATATAGTTAATACAGTTACGAGTAGCAACACTCTGAAATAGTGACTGAAAAGTACTTGTGTCAAAGTGCACTGAACATGTGTCAAAGTGTTAAAAAGCCCTTGCTAGAGTGTCAAGCTAAAATAATTTTGATAGATATGATTTGTCTGATGGTCTGATCTTATCCCTTCTGAGGTTATAGGAATTTTTCATAGGAAGAACCTACAAACCGCATCAGGGGATTCTCCAAATTTTTTTTAACATTTATCTCATTATTAACTTAACCACCAAAAATGTCATTTAACCTTAAAAACCCCACCTAAACTTCCCCTTAAATCAAAATTCAGCTTCTCTTGAAATACAGGAACTCCATAAAACAGTCAAGTTACATGATGGGCAAAATATTAATCCATGTGCGGTAAAATCTTGGATATCCAAGAGGATCAAATCTATCAAAAGATTCCTGTCATCAACTCTTACAGCAAAGGATTTCTACACAGATTCTGTGATTGTTATTATAGATCATCTTGCAAGTATAGCAAGAGAAAATCAATAGCCCAAGTTTCAGTTGTCCTATCGGAGTGGCTATTAATGTCATCTA